CCAAAGTGTAGAGTTTTTAAGTGTAGAAATGAAAGGGACTAAATGACTACGGTATGTAAAAATCGTAGTTGTTAAACTTCGTATTTTATTCAGCGGCTTCTACAAATCTTACGGCGATAATGCAATCGGCTATGTCCAAATTAAAAGAGATGGAGAATTATGTACAGTAAAAGGTTGAGTTCTCCGGAGCATAAAGTACGTAATGAAGGTTATCGTGTTACAGTTATTTTAAATGAAACGCAAAGCTTGGTTCAGTCCTGCCAATGTGAAGATTGTGCCACACATTTTAAATTTTATCTAATTTTCGACGTCATTCTCCAACTGTAAAATTAAAAATATGTTATAGACAGGTTTTGTAAGTATTAGGTAGGTTACTAATGCGTTTTTACGTACAAGCAGATTAATTAAGCATATAACAAGTATATTCGCCGACTTACGTCAAAGTGACCTTCACAGCATCGAATAATGGTCTTTGAAGAATAATTGTCATTTCTCTTTGCAGCTTGAAACCACTTTTTTCAGTTTTGGGTCAGAAGTTCCAGTCAAAAACAATTTATTTGGTTACTTTGTTGAAGTAGATTAGACAAAATATGAGTCAACACGACTTTTTTTCAGGATTATGGTAGTGGTATTGTTATGATCACATGATGTTGATGGATAGTCCATTTTAAATTTTTCAAAAAAATATTCCGAAAGTCGAAAAAATATGCAAAAGTATGAAAATTTAAAGCCAGCAACGAACAATTACGACCAGTGACAGACAGGAGTGACGTCATCGCAACCATAGGTTCGTTTTCGCGCGAAAATTTAAATTGTCAATTTAAAACCGCATTTTTTCCGATAAATCACAATGTTTTAATTTTTTAATATATCTGTGGTTTATTCTACATGGAATACTTTAAAATGAAAACAAAAATAAAAATATTGCATCTTCCCTATTATATAATATACTTCAAACAAAACAATTAATTAGTAATTAGTAGTGCTAAAAAATAATTTTCTTCTTTTGTTCAATCATCATTTCATATAATGTTTGTGCCTCGCTACCACTATCTTTGCTATTCCTTTCAGAGCCGAGATCAACAGTTTCTTCGTTCTTATCTTCTTTATAGCAACCACACGGTTGACAACCGTGACATCAGAAAATAACTGACTGTTGTTTGCTTCGATTCAGTTATTTAGATCAAAAGTTAGAAGTTTTGCTATCGCTGCTTTTCTGATGATTGGTTTCATCGGATAACATCCAAAATCCAATCAATGCTAAATGTGACGTCTTGATGATACCTAGTGCCGTTTTTAATGCACTGTAATCTCTTGTTGATGTTTTGATACTCTGCCAACCCGTCAAGATTTGTAATAGGTATGGCTCGAAGCTGTGTGTGTGCTTTTCTTCCTTAATATATAATAATATAAAAATAACCATTTATAATGGTTAAGTATATACAGTAGTAGTATGGCTTTTGTAATGAATGGCTTAGTACTTAGTACAGTTCCTGTACCTTCAGTTCACATGATACCTACCAACAAAGGTCTTTAACTTACTTAATTAACCAATTAACTAAAAAATTAAGGCCGCGCTCTTATTTTCGAATTAATACCTTTATTTATACACATTTAAGTACCTAACGTAATAAGATTTTGTCGATTTACATGACATTTTGTTAAGTTCATTACCACTTAGGTAATTATTATTGCACTGACCTCATAGCAGAACAAGAGAGACGACTATGACACTATTATTATTACCTATATACATACATACATATATATATATATATATATATATATATATATATATATATATATATATACAGGTAGAACCAATTAGTGACGTCAATAATTTTTTTAGATTCCTCGCACCTGGGGATATCCGAAATACCCCATGTACCTATGTTCCGCGATTTTTCTTAATTTTCGAGTTGTAAATTTTTTGTGTATTTTTAATGATTTCTGCCAGCGAGGTTTCAAAAATTCATATCTTTTTTCGAAGTACGTATTTTGCAGTCTTTTTTTTTGTGACATTATTGTCTTGAATGTTGTTTTATTAAAAAAAATAACTCGGCTTCCTGAAATTACTTAAAGTTACTAAAAAAAGGCTTGAAAGTTGGAACTTTAGTTTTTAAGTAGGATTTACTCAAACTTTCAACTTCAATTTAAAAATACAAAAAGGAGTTTCCATAGCTTCTGGCTAAAATTAAAAAAAATGTGTGCGTGTACTAGTGTACACACGTAAGAAGTGAAACTTCTTTATGGCCTTATTTTTCGAAAAATGATCTACATGCAACTTTCCAGAAATTGGTTAAATAAAGTTAAATTAGATAAAGTTTAAACAAAAGGATTTTATTATCATAGACATGAATACAAATTACTGCCTATGAAACTGTTATGATTACCTACACGGCTCAGTAATCTAAGGCACATGTTCCACCTCCGACGATGAACGATAAGCGAGTAGAAACTAGAAACGAATTGGCAGTCCTGAGTTAAAATTCACGCGCACGGCTTTTGACAGCCAAGCCAGCTTAACCGAGCGAGTATAGCTGAGCGAGTATCGATGAGCGAGTATCGCTGAGCGAGTATCGCTGAGCGAGTATCGCTATGCGAGTTTGGCTGAGCGAGTCTTATCTTTAATAACTATTGTCACTCAGCTACAAACGAGTAGAGAGAGTTCTCGCCGGCGACAGTGTGACATTCAGCTATCAACTATTAATATAAAAAAAGATGGCGCGTAACGGAAAAATGTGACGGTAAATTTTTTTCCAACGCCGATAAAGAATTTTCACTTCAAAACTCCGCATGCTTCTAAACTACCAAAAATCGTAAAGAAAAATTGTAAAAAATTTAAGCGGAATTCTTTATTTGTTTATCTGTAGTAAATTCATTATTAATTTTCTATTGAATATTGTTCTACTATGCTATTAAATAGGGGGTAAGTATCAAAATAAAACGAGTTTAAAATGCTCAAATTGGAACGGCAAAATGGAGTTTGCAGCGAGTTTAAATAGTTGATAATAATGATGTAGTATTCACATATTCGTGCGAATCGCGAGGCGAATAACGAACAGACATAGGTATTTTGTAAATAGTGCGCTCGCTATTCGCCTCGAAGTTTTTCGGATGTGAATCAAAAGGCACGAATGGCGCAGGCGAACACGAGCTGAATGTTTACACTAAGTAAAGAAAGGTACAGTACGTAGGTATCTCACATGAGTTGAAACTGAACTACGTATCATGAAATCCATGAGTGATGTGATGGTGATGCAAGGACAATAATTCTAAACAAAATTAAGTATGATGATTGTTTTTCGACCTTTAGACATAACCCCCCCCCCCCCCCCCCCCTACTTCCCAAGTGCAAATAAATTGATGGTTGCAAGTGGTAGATTCCTCACCGTAGTTTGTATACACAAATTGTTTATTTTGTCTCGTGATCAAGATTGGGTAATTGGTTTTGATTGAAGTCTTGAAGATTCTGAACAATCGTTATGTCTATAGATACAATGGCGGCTGGCATGATTCTCTGTAAAACTAAATTTCACCTCAGTCTCTCCTTTTCATTATGTATGAGAATGATAAGGATGTACTGTTGTCAAATTTAGGTAAGGTTAGAGAATCATGCCAAAATCGACACCAGTAGGTACTTAGTTACACACTGTAATTAAGGAAACAATTTTTTATAAGGACTGTTTAACTACTTACTGATAAAGTCACTGATAGCCTAATTCAGAATCCATAATGCTCGTAAAATAACACTATAGAAATATCTGACAGACTTTGTTCCAGGTATCAGCTGCAAAGGCGTCACCAAGGGAGGGAAGGGGCAGTTGCCCCATGAGATCAAATGTAGCTAGCCGCAAAGCGACCAAAGTGCGAGCAATTGACTTCCTTACCTACGAACATTTTGATCGCTTTACCATGCACGACCTGTACAGTAGAGCGATCCTTTAGCATCCTCAAGAGACTTAACCATGGCTGAAGATCGCCTTAATGGTCTGGCCATGATGAGTGTAGACAGAGCTATAATAAATAAAATTCCCCGCAGGTAATGTTTTAATTGAATATTGTTTTTGTTAAATTAAATAATTATTAGCTACTGTGTTTAAAGGTTGGTTTAATTATTGTGCTCTGGAGGGCTTGTGAAGTTTTATACATTGATATTAGAACCGTTCTTTTTACACTCGTCATCAAGGCAGACTTTCAAAGTGTAACGCTTCATGCTCTCGGCGTTCATATTTTTTATCCTCCATAATATTGCCCCATTGCCCCCCCCCCCCCCCCCAGTCATAAGCTGGCGACACTCTTGATCAGTTGCTTTTAACTATGTACAAGATTAGTATTAAACATATGGCACGCACACGGTGACACATAAAGTTGTTGCACCTTTGTAACGTAGGTATTCACGTGTATGTAGTATAGTAAACACCTGTCTGCAAAATAAGATAGCGAAAAACACTAATCAACTTTTAGTTTCATTAATCATACTTACCTGCATCGTCATATATGATTTGCAATTATATTTGAAAGGATTAAGTATAGATAGGAAAACTCAATGTCCAAAACTTGAGTAGCTATACTAATCCTAAGATGTCTGTTTGCTGTACGATGTTCAACCTTAGGTGGGTCTTAAATTTGAGCATCTATATCGGTCGATTCATTATATATGAACTAGGCAATCGCGAATCACGCTATGTCCATTCCGGAATTTTGTGTTGACCTTTGGAATTTTCTATTCTCAATCTCACGAAATTATGGATACATAATAATCAGCTTGTGTTATTAATATAAATCATGAATGAGCTGTACATTTATCTTATCATTAACGCCAGCTCTAAATATTTTTTTCATTAAGGCGCGTGTTATCTTTTTCTGTAGCAAAGAAATGGACAGTGTCAATTTTAATTTAATAAAAAAAAAGTTGACTTCTCTGACATATCAATCGAAGTTCATAGAGTTCATGGAGTACATGCCATACATGTTAGGTATCAAAATCAAAACGAACAGTTTTTTCGTAAACATAATTTAATTAATATTTACTGTTAAAACAATATCGTAATAAACATAACACAAACACGAAAGTTTCATTCACTGTCACGGGATATCAAAATGGTGGGCCACTTAGCGGTAGGCGGGGGCAGTAGAGCCGCCGGGCACAGGAGAAGCTCGTGGACAGAGCTGAGCGTGTAGCTACCCAGACAGTTCAGCACCCATTCGTAGTTCACCGGAACTATGCCTAACTCCAAAGCGAGATCTGCAACAAAAAAGCAGATAGAAAAAAAACCGGCAAGTGCGAGTCGGACTCGCGCACCGTGGGTTCCGTACAAACCTGTAGGTATATTTTAATAATTATTAAAAAATATTTTTTATTATGTGATGTAACTGAACAAATAATGAAAAATATTTTTGATATCGTGTGTAAATGGGCCCATGACGTTGGTTTGGTGGTGAACGCTCAAAAGACTAAGTTATTGCATATTCACACCTCTCACAATAAAGCCGACATCACACCCACCGTCGTGGGCCACAATCATAATTGTATTCATAACCAGACATATAATTGCACGTGTCAGCCAATTTATAATGTAAAACAACATATGCTTCAATTACCTTCATAGCTCAAACGCGTTATCTCTTAGGTCATCAGAAAATTTAACCCTAAAAATTCCTACTCATGACACAACCTTCTATGGTCGTTCTTTTGCCGTCCAAACTGTTCGCCTGTGGAATTCTCTTCCAGTAACCATAAAACGAGCATAATCTATTTATATTTTCAAAAATCTTGTTTTCAACCATTATTTGTCGATGTAACTGCATTTTTATTTTTACTATTTTTTTTTCTGACTGGACTAAACTTATATATGTGTAGTCTATGTATGTATTTGTCATATATTTATATTATATGTATATATCTTATAGTTATATTATGTGTATATATATATATTATGTATGTATGGTATGTATATATATTTAATATATATAATTATATACATTTTTTTGTAAAGGTTGTCTGGAAGAAATCGCTTTTAGCGATAACACCGCCCATTGAATCACTATGTTTAAACATAATGTATTTACCCCATTTTTCAATAAAGAATTGTGTGTGTGTGTATGTGGGTCTTTTGATTGATGAGAGATTTTGCTGGTGACCTCACAAAGATTACGTATGTGCCAAGTTAAGCTCAATCGCGAGTAGACTATCTGTATTAAAAAATAAAGTACCTTACAGAACCCTTAGACTCATATTTGTCCCTAGCTGAATCTGTTGTAAGTTATGGCCTAAGTAGTTATGGAAGAACTTATAAAACATACATAGAGGATATTTGTAAAATTCAATATAAAATGCTAAAGATAATTGTATATAACGAGACTAAGTACTTGAATATTAATAAAAGACCAGATAATCTGAGAAATGTGTTGGATCGTAGAAAGTTTTTGTTGCCGAAATGTAATAATGTCCACGGAAATAGAAAGCTCTGTTATTTAATACCTTCCTATCTCAATGCATTGCCTAGTAATCTACAGGAAATGTACTCGAACATTGTTATCAATAAATATAAAATCAAGAGATATTACTTACAAAATAGTCAACTTACCATAACAGGTTTTCGTGTATGGTTTTTGAAATATGTTGTATATGTATAATAAAATATTAAATAAATAACTAAAATTTTACGGTTTTCACAATTTTTCCTTTATCTGTACTATAAGACGTCACTTCGCATCAAATTTCAAGTTTCTAAGTTCACGGGAAGTACCCTGTAGGTTTTGATTCCCGTGGGAGTTTCGAAAATTTGCAGCATAAACGGCTGTATCTTTTGATTGCTTTGGCTTAGAAGTTTGATTTCTTCACAGCTCCAAGGGACAGTAGACCTGAGTATTAGATATGAATTTCAGTTTGATACCTCCACGCGTTCCTGAGAAAACGGTCTTGACAGACGGACGGACGGACGGACAACAAAGTGATCCTATAAGGGTTCCGTTTTGTCATTTTGAGGTACGGAACCCTAAAAACAAGCGAGCCTTACAGTAGTCCCCTATGATGTGTAACATTTGAAACCTCCCCTTATATTAGTAAAAAAAGGAAATAAAACCTACTACAAAACGAATAAGCCATTTGAACATTATGTTCTGAAATCAAATCAAATAGCGCGCGCTTCCCAAACTTCTTGTTACACACTTCCGTCCCATTTCACGTAATTACTCCCACAAATTGCACGAAAGCGAGAGGAAATATGTTACACATCGATAATAGACTGTTTTCTGAGGGACCAAAGAACCATTTTAAAGGCGAGAGCGTTTTCAGAGCGGAAAAAAGGGTTGTAAGTACGTCGCTCGAGTTTAAAATAGTTCGCTGTGAGTTGTAAGTTCTTTGGCAACGAAACAGGAGCGAAATTCCCTGCTCTGACCATGCACCTAGGTACTACGCCTTTTTATGAAAGTTCTTGACCACAGAAAGATTAGTTCCTCCTCAGACTCTAAAACCGACATTGTCTTTCGGTTGGTATTTCTCAACTGGTTTACATTAAGGTTTCTTAAATAGTTTCGCGTAAGTGAAGTAGGAAGGTACTGTACTGTGTTCATAATAAGACCTCTGGTTGGAGGAAAATTGTTAAAATTACAAAACGCATTTATCCTTTTCAAGGCTACTTACGAGTTAGTGATGGCATTGTTTATATCACAGAATCGCTTATTGTCATGACCGTTGTAAGGAGACAACACAGTCTGCGTTGCTGTTCAAGTCCATGACGAAAAATTTCTTAGTGCTCTTTAATACTTTCATGCATGTTAGTTTATTTTTTTTTTATTTTGTAGTAGGTTCGAATTTATGTGAAACCAGTCTGATCAGTTTCATGTAATAAAATACTAGCTTTAAATAGAAAAAATGCTGATAATTAAATAGAAAAAAGAAACTTACACACGAATCTATCCTCTTGCGTGTGCTCCGGTTCGGCCAGCAACAGCGCAGGCGCATCGCTTGTAGCCTTCACGGCCTTCGCTTCTTCCACCACACGCCCACCAGACGCTTCTAGCATTTCCTGTAACAGGTTAATTTAATATTACGGGCCGAACTAGCTTTTCTTTTGCAAGCCGACGCAATTTTATGAAAAATAAACAGAAATAAAATTGCCCTTGCTCAGTTTCTGGTCGGATCTTCTCAATGCAAGGTCTATCACCGTATAGTATAGATTTACGAACCAGCATAGCGTTTGAAGTTAACAAGAACTTGTAACAGCCTAGACGGAATAAATATGATTTGTAAATTGATGTCAAGATTTTAATTGTAGATGTAAGGCAAAATTAATGCCTGTACAATGGCATCCTATTTGAAGTTCCATAGGCAACAAGAAACACTTATACTTTCGCCATGTTTCTCAGTCCGCGCGTAGTTTAACTCAGAGATAATGATATAGTGGCAAAGTAAATTAGACATTTTACTTTGATTTCTATGCCTAATTCCTCATTTCGAAAAATTTGCCGAAGGTAGAGAGTATAATTAGGACTATTAAAGTAAAAATCCCACTAGACACTCGCAACAGAATCAAATAAAGTAGTTTTACAAATATCTTGTACGCAATAAAAGTTGTAATAGCAACTAGAAATGAAAATAAAAGATTGTTATGATATTTAACAGAAATTTTCCAAATACAAAACAGTTAATGCAAAATAGAGACGGCAATTAAGTATCTAACATTGATTCAAATCACGATCCCTTCCTTTCAAGTCTAATACCGGCCATACACACTACGAGAAATCGTTACGATCAGACTGTACAGTTCGAACGGAACAGTTTATACGATTTCGTTTAGTATAGGAAACTGTGCAGTTTTATAACATACACGCTACGATTTACCGGTACCGTTCGGACTGTACAGTCTAATCGTAACGATTTCTCGTAGTGTGTATGGCCGGTATAAAGTTAGCGTCAATGTGGAATAAAGCTTATCTCTTTTCCTAATATGAAATGAAAGGGATCGAGGAGTGAGTCCGAGGAGATCGAGAAGTAAAAGTTACACATTTAGGCCCCAGGTATCCAGTACATAAGTTTTATTTTGAAAAAAACAAAAAATGATTTGTGGAAGATCCTGGAAAAGATTGTTACTTCTGAAATGTCTTCTGTTTTCCGTTCATATCCGAACAACAATATGTTTTTTTTTAAAGCGCAGTGTGGAAACGAATAAGCTTATTTTCGCGGTGTACTTATCGCAGGCACTTAACGACAACTTACAGGTGGATGTAGTAAACACCGACTTCTCTAAAGCTTTCGCTAAGATAAATCACGATTTGCTAATTAGTAAGTTGGCAGGGGTCGGTATGCATGGCAGCTTGCTAAGATCAAGCAGTGTGTATCAAAGGCTATATATAGTTCACAATTCCTACCGGTGCCCTCTAGTGCCCCCCAGGGATCACATACCTCCAAATTGCTACTTTCCTTTTATATTAATGACATCGGACAGTGTTTGAAATATAGTAATCATCTCTTTTACGCCGATGATTTTAAGTTTAATAAAGTCATTAGGACAAGTGATGACTTTGATAAATTACAGTAAGATATAATATCCTTACAAAACTATTGTAATAATAACCAACTGCTAAAATCTAAAGAAAATATAACTAGAAACAGGTTAATATCAATAGAATTGAAAGACTACAAAAAAAAATATAAAACACCTTAATTATCGCTTTAAACATACAAATGAATCATATGACATCTCATTGAAAGAATATAAGTTTTTATCACTTCATAATAGACGTATAATGTTCGATGTGATATTTTTGTATAAAATACTCAACGATCAAATCGATTCTTCTGCGCTTTTAAGTAGGATATCTTTCGTGAACCGTGCGTATGCCTATGCGGTCTTTTCGCAAGCAATTACTATTTGTTCCTCCACCACTCACTAAACTATACACGCGAAATTCCTTTATTTATCGTTCCACTTACAATTATAATAATAACTTCAATAACATTGATATATTTAATATTTCACATAGTAATTTAAAGAAATTTCTTAAACTAAAATTAATGGACAACATTTAAATTTAAAGATTTTTGCATATTTTATATGTTTTGTCTTCTTATATATTGTTTTATTTTTAAGTGTAACTTGTTCTACAATGATTTTCTGTAACTAATAAGTTAAATTGTTGGCACTGTAGGTCGTCTCTTATAATTTCACTGTAACCACAGAACAATTATATATAAAAGTAAAACTGTTTGATACACAAATAAAGAGAATATAAAAAAAAATAACAAAAAAATTAAATCACTGAAAAAGATAAAAAAAGTTTATTATTATTTGCTTTTCAGATTATATGATTTGGCGTTTTATTTTTTTTGTTTAAAAGATTTTATTTAATATTTTTTTTTTGAAACGGTCAAAATATTCAAAAATATTTGATTAATGGCAATTTTAAGAAACCAAGCAGCAGGAAACTGATATTGTAACCAGGAGACTGTGGATTTAAACAGATATAAAAAATCAACGTTTATTTAACAATAAATTCACAAATAAAAACTATGCTTCTAACCATTAGTTCGTAATAGTCCAAATATCTTGAACTATGGTGATAATTAAGTCACTTATACTAATTATCTATCTAAACCAGCCTTGAACTTTTATCATTAAATCTACAATATTAGAGCTTTAATAAAATAATCATTTTAGCAAACATTATGTAATAAACATTATATAAAATAGTTTTTAACAAAGTAACCAAATTATTGTTGATAATTTAAATATGAACAACACTTAACATAAACAATAGTATGACGGAAACCAAAACCATTCAGCAGTCTTATTAATTTTGCTTTTGCTAGCCATTTATTTTCTAATTCGAACACTAATATTTAAATAATTTTTGAGCATTCATTTATTATTCAAAGACACATTGCGTCAACTCTTTTGTGGTAGTTAACAAAAAAATAATCCTGTCAAAATAGACATTCAAGGTTACATTAATTCGCACCCAGCTAAAATTGTCATGAATGTTGGGAACCCTAATACACACAATTTGTCAATTATCCACATGAATCCAACATGTGGAAAAAATATATTCAAGGTCAAATGTTGCAAAAATAGATAGGGAAAACCACGTAAAAATAAAACCCGCCATGTACACTACCTCACGGGTGGCGCGGAAACGTGTGCATATTATGAGTAACACAACTTTTTCAACATTTTGCATCGCTATATCTCCGAAATGGTGATTCTTTGGAAAAAGTGTTTGAACAATTTTTATACCTATTTTTATAATAAAACTTACCGTTTAGCTGGAAAACTCAAAAAACCGATTTTTGCAACATTTGACCTTGAACATTTTTTTTCCACACGTTGGATTCATGTGGATAATTGACAAATTATGTGTAATAGGGTTCCCAACATTCATGCCAATTTTCAGCTAGGTGCGAATTAATGTAACCTTACTCCTATTATTGAAGCTATTTGATTGGACTATAAGGTACTAAAATCTTAGTTTATTATACATAATTATTATTATATTATAAGGTACTAAATCTCTTTATTGCATCATATGGTTCAAAACAAAGTAAAATACATAGTCAGCAAAGGTGGGCTTATCTCTAAAAGTTTAAACTATTCTTAGATCTATGAGAAAACTTTTAGGCAGTCAAATTGTATTAAACTATCAATTATAATCACAGTCAGCAGAGCAGTCCGGGCATATAAATGATATAGTTTCACCTTTAATGCAGTCAACCTGTGCCCAATTGTTGCATGCAAAACACTGGACCCTATCATTTCCTGTCGTATCTTTACTATAGAGAGTACCACAGATTAGGCACTCAGAATCACTGGATTCGTAATATTTTAGTTCTTATTTTTGAATTATTTTCTTTACCTTTATGTTTCTTCTGCCTTAAATTCTGTCTTGTATATTTTGTCCTTTTGAACTTTTTCTTTCCTTAATATCCTCTCATTTTTCTTTTATGTTTGCATATTAATAGTACACTATTAATATGCAAACATAAAAGAAATTTGAATGTATTCAAATTTTCTTTTTAGAGTTCTAACTTTCCTTTCATCACTTATTTGCTGTTCTGGCGGCTTCGGAAAGAGAGTACTTGGGTCAATTTCCAAATCAGGCATTTATTTCAATATAAACAATTAGGATCCTGCATTTTTCTCAGTATACTGGCTATTTATTTGACAGGATACTGAGACCAGATTCCTGAGAATTTTCGAATAATATTTAAAAATAACATCTATTTATAACATTCAACCAAATTCAAGCAGCAATAAGCCTTCGTGTAAGCAATTTATACATCAAAATGCTACAATTACCATATTACCACATAAATTTCGTAATTAAATATCTTACCAAATATCTCCTGTGAGCTCGACTGATTACGACGCGACTTCCTCCATCAAATGTGCCGGACGAACTCAGTTAAACCGCAAGATTGCGCCGCTAATAGATTATTAAATATTCTCTTATTTAACATTGTGAAGGATTCTGATATAAAACTGTTGGGACAACTTCTGGACAAAGTTTTTGCTACAATAAAGTAGGCATATGTCACCTGGGTAACAATAATAATAGGATGTCATTTATAATATTGGTTTAACTCATGGTCTCAATGTAGTAGAAAATAAATGATATTGCACAATACATTCAATTTTGTTTGTGGGACACTAGGATCCTGGGAATTTGACGCTTTGGGTAATAAATAATTTTTTCCTAAGATAAAATATTGGCATCTAAATTATTTTTAGAGACCAGGTATATGTAGGTGTGGTAAACAATATGTTATGAAAATAAACTTGGTTGTAACTAGGGCTTTCAATACCAGTATTCCGGGATCCCGTAATACCGTAATCACGGTTTTTTTAATTGGTATTTTTCAATACCGGTATTGATCAGTCAATACCGTGATTTTACGGTATTACAAATCAATAATTCTTTATTAGGGTTATATGAATAGAAAGAGGAAATGTTAAGCATGAACGCGAATGAGATAAACTGAGGAGCTGGCGCACAAAACGGTATAATTACACATATGGTTTATTATCATATA